CTCGTATTGTCGGTTCAAACACATTGAATTTCATAAGATATCGGGTATAAAACTCGTCGTTTAGGCCGATGCAAGTGCGGAATACGCGTAATGCCGCTATTTCATCAAATATGCGTATTAGTTGTTGGAGTTCACATCTACAATGATCATTTTGCTTGAAGCATTCCTTCCTGCTTTCACTTACCCAGTTTCAGATGAGAGTGTTTGCATCGATACAGTTGTGTGATCTTGACAAAACAGTCGGTCGAACGCATTAAAATTTTGCTACGGATACTATGCTGTCGTATAACAAAGCAAATGAGGTCGCATAGGTATAAGCATAGATCTGATTGATCTCGAGTGAGTTCAAGTTCTTCTATTGGACCTATTAACATTTTTAGGGAAGAATTGTATTATTGGTCTACACGGAGGACAAGCATCCTTTCTACCATCATTGCCGAGTAAGAAAGAACTTACCATCTAACTTGATCGGCTTGACATCTACTTGCTCAAACGGACGCAGGAATAAATTACAGTAGCTTTCGTAGAATACAGTGAGATAAATTTCAGTATCAGGATCTTGTTTACGTAGCATCTACACAATAAAAGCAATTTCAGAATATTTTGAAGAGTAACCCACAGCTGCTGGTAGCGCCTATTTTTCTCTTTGTTGAGTATTCCTTCTTCCTCTGCCATTTACCTCGGCTGCCATGGTGCTCGCAACCATTGTGCCATTGCCCAAGTCCATAGACGCCTTGATAATTTCTGCGTACTGTATCTTAAGACCGGAATCCGTGTTGTCGAGGGCAAACCGCTTAAGGACCGTGCCCAAGGTAGTATCTTCAGCGTTTGTTGTTCTCGTTTGTTCAATGGTATATTCACGTAGAAGGTATGCGTCAAGCTCTACAATGGAAGCAAGGACGTTTGTGGCATGGGTACGCAAAACCTCATCATTTGCACACAGGGCAAACGGAAACATATCGAAAAGGCCATGTTTGGCCAGCGTTCTAAAAAGTAAAGATAAGAAAAATTCAGTACGATTCCAATAAAAATGCCATTGTTTGAACGCACAAACCAAAAACGAACCTGGCTAGAGCTGCACGCGCACCGGTCTGAACCGTCTTCGCCATAATGCAGAGTTGTATCACGAACTTGGAAGCTTCTTTCTTCATCTCGTCGCTCGAATCCTCGTCCTTGAAAATATGAAACAGCCCGTGCAGATACTCATGATTGCTTTCAAAATAATTGATAATATCGATGTTGTTGAAAAATATCAGCGAATGCAGGATTGATGCTATTGAGTCGTCGATAGTGTCGCCCAAAATGACATCCTTGAGATATTTTAGCCGCAAAGTTTGCTGTATCTTGGAATTGACCGCTTCATTTTCAATCGGGACGACCTAAAATAGTGATCGAGAAGCATTGGAAGCGTGAATAAAATTTATGTTGTGTTTCTCTTCTCATGTTGGGAACTATTTGACTGCTTGGATATACAACACGTACTGGTTTCAATTGGGAGTGTTTTGCTAAATTTCTTCGATGTGTTGCCTTCTTATCGGGTATCTCGGGATCATCTAATAACGTATGCACATGACGAAAAAGGCTAAGTTTAGCCACACGTCTATATATACCAAGTACAACAATGAAATACAAGGAGAGAAAAGGGAGACTGTCAGAACTTACATTCAAGTATGCCCAAAACCCCCATTATACTTTCATCACGAACTATTTGCTCAATAATGGTATTGTCATTCAGCAACACTACATCGTAAAATGTACATAAGGTCAGTATGTATAAAACTAATGTTGTTGCTGCTACTGCTGCCACGAACGATAAGCTTAGAACAAAGGAAACTTACTGATAGATCTCATGATAGTGTACAGCTTATGCAGATCTTCTTTGCTTTCCAGATCTTCGCATGATTCAAATACGGATAACAGCTTATCAATGTAATTCTTCCGATATAACAAGTCAATTAAAAGGTTACATACATTGCACCCAGCAGCACCCTGAAACCAATCCACAAAATAAAAGTACTTACTTCTAGTACAATAAACGATGCTAGCCGATCCTTATCTTGTATTGTTCTTGCACTGCTAAGAATACTTGTGATCTCGTCCAAGTTGGATAGTTCAGGCATGGGAAGCGTAGCTACGTCTTGGGAATCGTTCATCATCGGTGGTGTTCGATTGCCAGTTTCCGTCATCTCACCAACAGCTTTTTTTGTTTGATAGACCATTGTACAAGATACATATAGAACGACATGTTTAGACACACGAGATTTCACTTTCTTCACGACTTTTGCTGCCGTTGCTGTTGTTGTTGCAATTGTTCCGTACCTGTTCTGAGGCGATTATCAGTGGCAGTGTCACGTCGTTCATGTATAATGTTCCTGTAATCATTTGAGCGATAAAAATAAGCTTCTTGTACATTACTGACCCACATACGCTCGCACACTCCTTTCCATTCTTCCTTTCCCTCTTTCCCCGTCTCTCTATCTCGATGACGTGCCATATATAATCACAACCGTCCGGTTCTTGAAAACTCAGTGCTAGTTCGTTTGCCGTATCCTCATTCCAAACAATCAGAGTTTCTAAATGCACCATTTTTACAAATCAAGATCAAAATTCAGTCATGATGGTTCCAATCATCAGATCGCCCCGTACTTTGTTACAGAAAAACAATTTATAGTATATCTATACCTTGCTGTTTTTGATATTCTTTGTGTTCTAGAACCTGGGATATCAAAAGGGGGGACTGATCTTTCTCATTTTGGACAAAGATTTCGTCGGGTTCGTCGCCATTGTCTCCCTGTAATTCGAATAACAAGTTCATCGTGGATCGATCAGTTTAAGCTAATTTGCGTTGGATGGAAGGGGAAACCGAAGAAAAGGGGGAAGCGATATCGATATAAAATAAAAGCAGGCGCGCATTTGTGATTTTCTTTTTTTCTTCTTCTTACCGTTCTGTAGACACAAAAACCAGTTCCTTGGTCTTGCCAATTGGCTTCGCCTTCACCGATGAGTTTATATACCTTGACGCGGAACGACTTGGATGTTGTAGTAGTGGTGGTACTAGTTGGCATGTCGAGTTCGTATTGTTGTTCTTGTTCTTGATGTTCTTGGCTTCTCGAAACTATTTCGTCGTCGGCCATGTCATATAAATTGTTGACGTTCTGCCGTTACAATAAGAAAAGTGTGTTCAAATAGAGAAGGAAAAGAAAGAAGTTTTTTTTGTTTTAATAAAGATTGTAGAGTGATCTAAATGGGCACACACGGATCGAGGGCAAGAAAAAAAAAGCTGTGTTGGGAATTTTTGTGAGAGTAAGAGAAAAAACTCAAAATTGTGTTCAGCTCGCGCAAACCGTCTCTATCTGCGCAAAAGGAAAGCTCCCACCAATCAGGAGCTTTGATTGGCACTGCCGTAATGCAAAAAATGAAAAATCTACCATTTTTGTAATGATAACGGACTGACGTTAACAGACAATATATACATAGTGGCATGGCAATACACCGCTCTTGGTAGCAGTTCAAAGCACAAGTGTATACCTACTTGAAGCTGCGCTGTGAGCTTATAATCAACACAGTTTGAGCTTACAGCTGGCACCCATGTTCCTCTTTCTTAGCAGAACTGGTACGAACGCGCCAAGTATAGGAAGAAGTCTGAACGATAAACGTTTGAGGATTTAAGCTTGCATATTCATGATGATGACGGGAAGGAACTTTTGGACATAACACGCTTCCAAGACACGTGGCTCATATGGCGATATATATATAGCAGCGACTACTGGCTATCTCACCCTTGGTCACTCGCATCCTATACAAGTGACCGCGTACGGTAGGTAAATTCATAAAAATCTTACCCCTTAATATGAACGTCAATATGTCGAAATCTATTTTCCGTGACGATTTAGTATATACTTTTAAAATTACAATCGCGGCGTTGACGGTAGAGTTACAGCGCTTCAGTATATATAGCAAGATAGCGTGTATATAGTTTCATATTAGTGTAATGTCTGGGCAGCCAAAATTATATAGTATATAGTTACGCGCGTGAACGGAGTAAGGCTGTCGTGGAATGTATCCACAGCTTCATACGTGTTCCCAAAGAAAGGTCTGACGTATAAATCGTCAATCTAGCAGTGTGTAAACTTGAAGCAAATAAGAATGCTGGTACTTCGAAGCAAATGACTAATCTATGTGATAGTAAGCTTGTTAATTAGAGATATTAGCAGTGGAGAAGTATCGTAAAGATAGGGTACTAACGGTCGAATCCACCCCTTTAAGTTTTTTTCTGGCAGGATAAAACACGAAACTAGCATATAGTGACGCAGATCATAACGTAACGCGGATTTTGTCATGGTACATCCATCTTCATTAAGATGAAGGAATTTAAAACATGCACGTACTGTAAGACAACGCACTATCAGCCATCCTCTCTTCCTCCTTTTCCTTTCTCAAAGAACGTTTTCTGATGGCGTAAATAAACACGCGAGAAGAAACATCGCAAAACTAGATTTATTTCTGGGCGCTTTGTGGTATAAGTATGATGGCTGTTAAAAAACAACCACAAAAACCCCATGTTGTTCTAGTCCACCGGATCTGAAATAAGCATGTCCCTTTCGTTGAACGATTTCACCACCTGTGGTTTGGTCACACCAACTTGTTATTTTACTGATCAACAACGGACATGCATGCTTGCATATAATACGTTGGGCTTCGTCCTTCTTCTTTCTCTCCCAATAACAGCAAAAATTATCGCGCCAAACATTTCTGAATGAACAGGTAATATTATATAAGCTATAGCAAAGCATCTACATCAGTACATGTGCACTTCCAATAAGAATGGTATCTCTTTAAAATACACTTACCATCAGCCATCAATACTGGTTCATCACATCATCATCATACTGAGTTATTAACACACGATCTAGACTTCGGATATTAGTTTAATGTATGCTTGGTTCTCTGTGGACATGGAAATGGTGGGGTTATTGCAAACACTACTGTAAGAGAGCTTTTCAGTCAAGGGCCATTTGATTGTCATCCTATATGTGAGAAAGAATACAGAGTTAAAGACAAAACCAGACCAAAGCTTCTTGCGAAAGTAGGGAAAAAACAAACAAGCATACCCCTCCATTTCCCGTTGTCGACGATTTCATATACGCATCCATCTCGTCATCCAAATCTGTCTCATTGCGTCCCTTTTTGGAATCATCGTTGTTGCTACGGCGATCACGTCCACCGCTACGGCGACCGCGTCCATTGGCAAAGGTACCACCACTGGATCGATATATTGCCGAATTGAAGTTTTAGTCTAACATAACCCGATTTCATGGATAAATTTCAAACTTATGATGAAAACACTTACGTGGAGCGACCACCACGGCGATCAGCGGCTATTTCAATTTTCATAGCTTGGCCTACAAATGGAAGAGCCAATGTAAGCTTTGTCATCTAGGTCTTTCTTTCACAAACAACGCTCTTATAAAGAATCATTACTCACCATCGAGCTCAACATTGTTATATTTCTCAACAGCGGCCTCTGCATCTGCACGACGAACAAACCTGATTTGTGCAGTACCGGTAGATCGACCTGAGCGATCGAAAATGATACGGGTCTTCTCTACGCGTCCCACCATCTCGAAAAGATCCTATAAAGTGAGTCTCGTGTTAATCGATATTCTTATCTTTCGAAAGCAAAGAAACATTGATATTCTTTGCCACTGCCACTGTCGTTTCTCTTCTTCATTACCTGTAAGTCTTTTTCAACAACATTATAGTGGAGATTTTCAATTGTGATCTCTCCTCCATCGTTTTGGCGGCCTCCTCCTGATGAACCTGTGCGTCCACCTAGTCTAGCAGCAAGTGAAGAACGACCTCCTCCGCCAAAGCCGCCGTAATTGCGATCGTCAAACTTATCGTGCGTCCATTGCTTATCAACATTACCCCTTCCCTCCTGTGAAGGAAGAAAAACATCATTTTGTAAGAATTCTATTACAGCTCTCTTCTTTTTCATACAGATGAAACTACTTACAGAGCGTGAACCACCAGAGAAACCCCGTGGTTGAACAGTGCGCACGATTCTGGAAGCGATAGGTCCGCCGCCACCGCCATTATTTCGTGGACCCCCCGATCGCTTTCGGATGCCTCCAGGTGAAGGACGATCCGATGGTCGTTTTGAAAATTGATCCGATCGCCCACGGCGACTGCTGCTTTTGTTTTCTTTGATTACGTCTTCGAGCGCTTTGTCAAGTTGAGATGCCATTTTGTGAGAAGAAGAAACGAAAAAGCAGGAGAAAAAAAAGTACTCCGCAGAGTAATGGCTGCCGCTTTTGTTACCCAACCCGCCCCGCGGGCTGTGACTGCAAGTGTTTTTTTGTCTGTGTCGCATTTTCGGGTAGTTTCCAAGCTCTACCTTTCAAACACAAAAACATAAATGGCTTCACGAGCAATGTTAAGAAATGCCGTGCCAAGTACGGGCCGGCTTAGCTACAACGTGAAAAAGAGTAAGACCAAATGGAAAACAATCTGTCACTTGTATTGAAGTGTACTTACTTGGTTCTTTTTTTCTTACGTCTAGCTTCTTTGCGAGCCTTTTCCACAGTTAAGCCTTCCCGACAGCAACAGCAGGAACCTGCCACAACCAACGAACAATCGGCCCCAGCTCAAACTCTCAAAGACCTTGGTATATATCATACATACATACTATACACATACGACTTGTAGATCACGTGTGTATGGTTGAATCGGTACACGACTAAAACAGAACTTGAAACGATTGTGCTATATATAGTGCCACCTACAGACGCCACCTTGAAGAAGCCAATTTGGCGCTCGATTGCAGAATCCGCCGAGCCTATTACACCATACAACATGTCTATCGGACGACTAATGGCTGCTGGTTTGCATCTGGGTCACTCGACGTCACTTTGGGAGCCAGCAACGCTCCCATTCATTTTCGGTACACGTGAAGGTATCAGCATCATCAACTTGGAGCACACCTTGGTGTATTTGAGAAGAGCCTGCAACGTGGCACGCGAAGTTGCCTACCGTGGTGGCAACATCCTGTTTGTCGCAACACGACCTGGATTCCAAGACTTGGCTGTGGATGCAGCACGACGATGCGAAGGTTATCACGTTTCCGGCAAGTGGATTCCAGGCACATTGACAAACGCACAGCAAGTTCTTGGTCGCCACGCCACACCCGATCCCAACGACCCAGGCAAAGTTCCTGAAACATTTAATCCGGATTTGATGGTCTTGCTCAACCCGCTTGAAAACAGAATCGCCATTGCTGAAGCCCAGCTCAACATGATCCCCGTTATTGCTATCACCGATACAGATTATGATCCTCGACGTGTAACATATCCCATCCCTGCCAACGACGATTCAATTCGTGGTGTTGAGTTGGTTGCCAAGGTCATCTCAACAGCTGCAAAGGATGGATTGCTGCGGCGCAAGCAGTTATTGGACAAGAAGGATAAGGAAGCTAGATTTAACCGGGGCGAACGTAGACTGTAAAAGTGTATTTATGTGTGCAAATGCGCATCCACGCACGCATAATATAGCATGTTTTGTTTCTTATTTTGTAATATAGACATAGTAAAAAAAGTTCTCATTTTTAATCCATTATTTGGAATTGGGTTTTATATATCTGATAACGGTGCTGGGGCCCATCAATACGGTATGATGCGACACCGAGATCGACCCATGTCTTGTGATCATTGCTGTCTGGACAGATTTGCAGTAGTCGCTTGGTCAGGCCTTTGATGTACATTTCTGTGGGCCTTTTTGTATACGAAAACGGTAAAGTTAGCATAGTGCTATACTACAATAGAACGAAAAAGAGATCTACAAACTTACTCTGATGGAGGAAAGCCCTTGAAAAGGGTATTTTCCTAGTTATAATCAGTTAGCCAAAGCCCATATACTGACAAGGAAGAATGAAACTCACGGGATCGTCGCCATAGATCAGCAAGAAGATTTGTTTTTCATCTGCATCCTCAGCTAAGAACGCAGCTTTGTAGCCGTATCGATTAACAGGCACACCACAGTATTGGCAACTACTTGCAGTGTATGGAGAGCTAGTGGGAAAGGATGTCAGTAAATCGTTCACTAGAAAAGGTTCCTCTTAACTACCGTACTTACGTCCGTTGACAGTCATCGCATATTTTATGCACCCATTTGTTGAGATCATGTGGCCTATAGTCCACAACATGTGCGCGAATTCTGTATTTTTGGACGGGCTAATTAATAAGATAGTAAGGTTTGATATATTAGAGAATCAAATGAAAAAGAACCGCCGTCCTCATCGTATGTTAGTCCATTCGTACAGTTGCATCTTGTAGGATGTCGTCGATATCGCTGACTTTTCTGATATTATCTGAAAGCACTGCTTGCGCAAAAAAATAAAGGTTGTTAGTATTACCAGCCATCCAAACAAGCTATTGGAATAAAGTTATTGAAAAATATTGAACATGTTACCAGTTACCACGTTTTGTGGTACGACGCTTATGTTCTTATTTGACGTTGGACTTTGTCGTTTGAAGAATTTAGCTTTTCTCCTGTGTACGCATGGATTGATAACCTTTTTAGTTTCACTTTTTTGTTCCCAGTATTATTTGCACAAAATACATACAGTTCTATAGCTCGAACATATGGGTGGTTAGGGTCATTGAACTTTTCAATCTTGCATTTACCGAATCCTGCTGGCGCGTTCTTTTCACCTCGTAGCACAATCTCCAAATAACCGTGCTTGCTTGTCTTGGGGAAAAGGTTGCGCATGCGTACAATATCATATTGATTTAGCTCGGGACATCCTCTGGCATGCTCGTCCCATAAGGTGCCTTGTATCAATAATTTTGGATCGACCGTTCCGACCGCATTAAATCCATCCATGTGTCTTTTATTTTCAGTGAAATCCGTCAGTAGCAATTCGACACGATCTAGTTTGCGATCCCAAGCAACAACCTGGAACAAGAGATAATGTTGAGTATATACATACACGTACTCGCTTTCTATGATTACCTTCTTGATTTATTACCATGCCGATATAATCGAGAAAGGAGTTATGATTGGCAATCTGTGCTGTTGTCAGAATCGGACGCTTGCCACCATACATAGTAGGTGGGTTCTCTGGATCTGCCGCTTCATTGGTGTTGGTGTGGTTTCCTGCTGCTATTGCTGCTTCCAGCTGTTGCTCATCGAGATCCATCAAATAATCTCCGTCATCGGCCCTAACCATGCGCTGCCATTTATGCAAGATACGCACAATTTCTTCGTCATTCTCATCCAGAATACACCGTTTGTCCATATTTGGTGTTAGTCGTGGAGTGAGCGTTTTTTGATCAAAGAAGGTCCACGAAGATTTGAACTTGTGTGTAACACCTTGTTTTGTACTGTTGTAGCCCTTGATCTATAATAAAAATCAAACGAAAGGAAAGGGTGGAAAAAGTAAGTATTGACCTTTTTTCGAGTAGTTAAGACGCTAAAGCAACATAATATTATGCTTACATCCACTTTTTTAAATACTACAATATCGCCTTCGCTGGTTCCTGACGGAAAAGCCTCGGGGTCAGGGTAGAACATGTTGATGCCCATTCCTTTCGTTTTCCAACCAAGCGAAGGATCTGTAATGTTTACAACGAGTGAATAATCAGGTCCCCTCGTGGCTTTTACCGGTCTCGATTGTTGGACAACAGCGTAGACATCGCCTTCTTGACCGATTTGCAGATCACCAATGGTTGCGACGCCAAGTGCCTTTTTTTTCTTGTTAAGTGAGTCCTATAATGTCAATCCTTTCGTGCTATTATCATTTCTTTAACGATGTTACCTTTAATTGTTCGATTTCTTCAGCCATTCAAAAATGATAGTATATGGAAACGGAAAGGAAGTATATTTCTCCGCTTTCGTGAAATGCTACGCGAAAATACGCGTTTGTTCGCAATATCAACTCACACCCGACGGTTCCTATTTAACCGAGAGAGAACACATCATGAATTGAGCTGCTGTATTTCTATTATTGACTATGCTTTTACGTATAAGACTGCTGCGAATATGTTTACTGCAACTGCTACTACTTACTACATATAATGCAGGAAAACTCTTCCTCGCTTGCTTTCACTGGTGAGAAACCCTTGCTTGGGTGATCCAACTTTATCAGCTAATAATCACTCAAAGGATGTTACTGCTTTAACTGCCTATCATATCTAGGGAGATTGAATTGCTGCTTATCAAAGCTTCTGTCAGAATATAAAATGTTACCGAAGGAAGGAAAAAAGGATTAGACGATCAGCAAGTGTTCGCGTGGTTTTGGTGTTTCAATATTAGTATCATATGTACATGTGCGTACAACAGTATGAGAACGATGGTATTAACGATGTACACTTATAATCCTACATAACTTCTTATATATCATCGTTCTAACCGAACTTTCTGTACCTTTCTACTCGTTGTAGTTTTTTTAAGCCGAGATTCGGTATGTAGTGTAGTAGACACGCCATTGTATAACCGTGATACTTACGTCTGGTTTTAGAACACAAATTTCATTACAACGCTTATATGTTTCTAGATGAGCTGCAGGGCATTCATCCTAGACCTATTAACATGACATACTGGGCTTCAGCTGCGAATTATGGTGTTGTGTTGAGTTCCAAGGAAAGGTAATGGCAGAAAGCAAGATATATACAGCATAAGTAATACAGGAAAGCTTGAAAATGAGTGCTTTGTGTCCCTGCATGCTGTCTTTCTGATAGCCGACTCATGCTTGTGGCGCACCATGGAATGCTATGAATCTTGTACTTTGACAGGAGGTATACATATATCAATAATGGAATGGATGGAGGTGTTGATGTTTCTGAAAACGCGACTCGTCGTGTAGTTGCGCTAGATGTCATATATTAAGCTTGGGTACGCATCGGTCTACTCCGTCAGCAGTTACTAGGAAGTGATATGTTTCACGGGATTATAAGAGATGGCAAGTGGCACTATTAAAAATACTATTACTACAGTAGCAATACCAAGTGGCAACGCTATTGCATTTGTTTTAACAGTGCTAAATAGCAGAAACTCAGTGCTGCAAAGCAGGAAAAAGGCTGTCTTGATTTCGGACTGGATCCACCGCTTCTAATAATGAATGCTGTTACTGCACCAGAGGGACGTTCTCGTTGAATATGCATCAAGTTCTCTGCCTCTCTCCGAACTGATTTCAAACATGACGTTATTCGACATGCTTTCTATTCCCGGTGATGATATGTATGTGCACCTTCGTTGGCGATAGAAGGCCAAAATGAGCTATTGGCAATATGTCAATGTTGCTTTATTGTTTTAATGGGAAATGTCCGCTTGAAACATAGGCGAAAGACAAGAAGTATACATAATGACAAATAGTCTGTGCCACCCACTTGCCAATTATGTAAGTGCGGATTGCCAAGCAACCAAAAAGCGTTACTTTTTTTTGTCCTTTTCAATCGTCTTTTGAATTCCACTTTTCTCCCTTCTAATGCGTACCAAGAAACGATGGCTATTAAAGTTACTTATCACACTTATACTTTGCATAACTTACAGCCTGGCCAACGGGTCCTTTAATAGCAATCGGCCTGCTCTTTCTTTTCCCGAGGCACCACATCAACAGCAGCAATTGGCTAGATATACAACCCATGCGCTTCAACGCCGTCAACCACAGCAGCTTGATGCACCTTCACCAACAAAAAATGACGATCTTTTGCTTACAGATATGGTGCTCGTATCTTTACTCGATGGTTCAATTCGTAGTGTCGATCGTTTAAAAGCAAGCGTATATTGGACATTACCCGCAACGGGATCGAGCACATTGATACATTCTAGTGCCCATATTCGGAAGCAGCAGCAGCAACAACAACAAGCCTTTCAGGACATTTGGGATAATATTGATTCACTTGACCAAGGAGACAATCTTTTGCAACAGCAACAACGAGAAGAGTCAGAAAGTAGCGAAGAAACGTTGCCGACAAACCAAGCACATTATATTGTCGAGCCTCAAAACGGTGGTACATTGTACCTTTATGACGAAGGTGCCTTGGAGGTGAGCCTTTTTCTTTCTTTCTTTCGTTTTGCGGTCTTAGAAATGTGTTTCGGAAGGAAATCATATTAAAACTTTTGGGCATTATATACCAACAACAGAGGCTTCCATTCACGATCCGAGAATTGGTGTATCGGTCGCCGTTACGAACGAGGAACGGAACAACCTATGTCGGTAGCAAAAAGACGGTGATGCTTGCTATCAATCCACGTTCAGGAGAAATATTGCAAAGGCTAGAATTGGATCAAAAACAGGATGCCTTTTATATGGCAACACAAAAGACTTTGCCTCCTCATACGATTTATCTTGGACGTGATGGTAAGTTCAGGCTCTTTTCTTCTCTTTTGAAAATGTAGCCGATATACATATTTACAATGTTATAATGTGTCCGTTGTAGAGTACCAAGTAGCCATTTTCGATGGAGACAACAACCGATGGTGGAAGATCGAATACAACGAATATGTATCTAACAAACTCGATTTGGATGTGCCACCGACTAATCCTGCGAGTGACATCTACATTGCACCCGACGCTATTGGTACCATATCAGCTATCGATGTTGGCCAAGGTGAGCTTGGTGTCGATATGTTTTGTAAAATCCAATGATAAAGTAGATTGGAACTAACTGGTTGTCACGCTATGAATGGACTATAGGGAGTGTCATGTGGGTGCAAGATCTTCCCAGCCCAGTAGTTAGTGTATTTGATGTGTTTATGCGTCGTGACAATACGATTGCGCTTTCGAGACAAACGCCTCCCACCTCGCTCTACAAAGGCGCTGTAGGCGAGATGCTGGACATTATGCGGAGACAGAATGGGCAACTTAGTGTGTATGTTGGCGAGTATAATGGTAGTCTCTATGCGCTCGACATAAACAACTATCCCTTGGCTCGAATTTCGCGGGTTGCTCCTATTGTCACTGGCCGATTACCCGGTGACAGACGATTGCTCTTGGATGCGAGCGAATCGACAACAACAGCAGGTGATACAAGCTACAACCATGACGGCGACAGACAACGCTGCCGACCGGATGATCCCCGTATAGAATGCCAGGTTGGTCTGCAGCCGTTGCGAGTAGATTACACGTCTGCTCATGATAGCATGTACAAGCCTGCAAAACAGCTTCCGGCAAATGACATGCCTTCAAAGCCAACAACTACATATGAGGAAATGATGCGGGATCAGGGAGCAGGCAGGTTCTGGAAAACTTATTTGCTGTTGTTTGCCACTGCAACCTATCTCTACCGACATCGTCTACTGCGTCTTTATGCTAGACATGTTTATCCACGAATGTTGGATATCAAGAAAAGATATTACGATAAAGCCTTTAGGCTTCCTGCCCGGTTAACGACAACAGCACCACCAACGACAAAGAAGACGCCAACTATCAATAACAAGAAGCAACCAGTAACACAGCTCAAGCAACAAAAAGTAGCAACGGCAATTCAGATATCGTCCCCTCCACCATCACCTTCTGTGCCTGCTCTGCCTCCCTTACGCAGCAGCTCAGCTTTATTGTCAAAAGGCTCAACGCAATCCATCGGCATTAAAGGCTTGGACCTTAACAACTTTCGGCAAACCAAATCGCAAGTTCTCAAACTGTCGGAGACAGTGCTGGGTAAGTTTTCTTATCTGTGTTTCAAATAGACACAGGTTGGTTGCATTAAATTGATGAAGAATCTTATAGGTTATGGAAGCCACGGCACTGTCGTTTACAAGGGAGAGTTTGATGGACGAGCTGTCGCTGTAAAGAGGCTTTTGATTGATTTTTACGATGTCGCTTTCCAAGAAGTCAAGTTATTGCAAGAAAGTGATGATCATCCAAACGTTATCCGATATTTCTACAAGGTACGTCGTTGTCCATTTATCTTGTGTTTCCTAGTTTGATTTACTTATTGACGGTGTCCTTCTATTGTTGATAATAGGAAGAATCTGATCGATTTTTGCACATTGCACTCGAGCTCTGCTATGGCTCGCTACACGACTTTATGGACCGATCGATGGACGTCCCAGAAATGAAACTTTTTGATCAAATGGACCCCGGAAACATCCTGAAGCAAATCATGAATGGCATACAGCATCTCCACTCACTTAAAATCGTTCACCGTGACATCAAGCCCCAAAACATTCTGTTGGCGCCCAACAAACTTCGACAGGACAAGGGTATGCGTATCCTACTATCCGACTTTGGTCTTTGTAAAAAGCTGGAAGGTGAACAGAGTAGCTTCCACTACACAACCGTATCGCCAGCTGGTACCGCGGGTTGGCGTGCGCCAGAACTATTGGCGGGTGCACTAGCCGAAGCATCGGATAGCAACACAAGCAACAGCGGCATTGCCGCTAGTGGTGCTGGTACCAGTGCTGCTAGTAGTGAACGTACAATTGCATCTTTTTCAAAAGCAACAAGAGCCATCGATATCTTTTCTGCTGGTTGTGTGTTTTACTATGTTCTATCTGGTGGCGACCATCCATTTGGAGATCGGTTTAGCCGTGAAAGCAACATCCTAAAAGGCGATCATTCATTGGTCAAGCTTGAGAGTATGGGTGAAGATGGGGTCGAAGCTATGGATCTAATCAGTCACATGATTTCCAACGATCCACGTTCTCGGTAAGTTTTATTAACTATGCTGTGACATCAACCAGGATGGATTTGACTATGTTGCAAAGCCGACTGATATGATATTCTAGACCCACAGCAGAGAGAGTGTTGACACATCCATTTTTCTGGACGGCCGCCAAGAGACTCGCGTTTCTTCAAGACGCATCCGATCGATTTGAAATTGAACAACGCGACCCGCCTTCACCAGTTTTACAGCGGCTTGAATTTGACGTAGAAACAATTATTGGACACGATTGGCATCGCAAACTTGATCGAGTGGTAAACAATGATTTGCGCAAGTTCCGAAAGTATGATGGCAAAAGAATGCGTGACCTATTACGAGTGTTGCGAAACAAAGTAAGATGTTTTTCTTTATCTCCATATAATGACAGAAAAAAGTGTTAATCAAATATCTTGCTTTAGAAACATCATTGGCAAGATTTACCCGAACCCGTAAAGCAAACAATGGGCGAACCGCCTAATAACTACTTATATTACTTTACAGCACGATTCCCGCATCTCTTTTTGCACACTTATTACGTCATTGCCAACGATAACGATCTTAAAAACGATGCATCCTTGCGCCAATACTTTTGATTTAAAGCACTGTACATACATTCATACATTACATCTTACTAATTTTTCTACATAATATATCCCGTCTGTACATAAACTATACAAAAATATCGACATTATGCGTCTTCTTGTTCCTGATCGTGGGGTATGACAACATTGCAGTGAATCTTGACTACATCATCCAAATTTTCCATATCATCCAAACAACGTTCTACTTGTTCCACCATTTCCTTGTCTGTTATATCCATTGTACTCTGTGGGACGTATGCTGCTTCCATTCGTTGAACTTCATATTGTTGTGAAGTCAGTGTTCGAGTAACATTCGCCAGTTGAGAGAAGTCGCATATTATCTGTTTTTGGATGACGAATATTAACTTAGTGTCGACTACATACAACTCTTTGATTTGTTTCCCAGAATATAAAAGCATACCTGGACGAGTTCTTCTTCATCTTCAATATCCTCTGCTCCAGCTTCGATAGCCGAGTCCATCATTTGCTCTAAAGAATGTCCAGATTCTCCAGCAGCAAACACGACCTTGCCCTTTTTATCAAAGAGCCAACCGACGGACGATACAGAGCCGCTATATTTTTCAATGTCAACTTACAGTTCAATGACTACTTGTGATAATTTTCTTACCCTGTTCGATTTAACACTTCTTTTACTTCTTTGATCGTCCGAGTTGGCTTGTCAGTCACAGCTTCGCTATATTTAATTTGTTACCATCATTTCATAAGTTTCAAATTAGCTCTGTAATCTACTTGGCAGTACTCCCCGGACCGGCCCAACGTGTAACAACTCACATAATCATAGCAATACCGCCAGGGCCATAACATTCGTATAACACGTCCTCAACAGTATCCTTATCCTTTGAAGCCGCCTACATTCCGAATGAAACCCCATTCAGTAATCATTTTTCTACCAGCTGTCTAACTTTACCTTTTTCATGGCAGTTTCAATATTATCCTTGGGCATACTAGCTGCCTTGGCACGGTTCAATACGGATGAAAGTTTGGCATTAAGAGCAGGATCGGAGTTTCCAGAGGCTAGTAGAATATTACAATTGAAACAAAAGTTTCCAAAAACATAAATGATCTATTTGTATACCCTAAGAGTAGACTTCCTCTTTACCTCGGATAGCAGACACTATTTCTAGGGATAGTTTCGAAAATAGCTTGCTTTTCTTTGCGTCCTTGGCACCTTTGGTATGTTTGACTTTACTCCACTTGTTGTGTCCCTATATTATGTATGTTTGATTGACAGCGGTAAACCTTCTATTAGTCTGGCGATCAACCTTTTTATGTGTGGTCATTGCATTTGGGGAAGTAAAGACAACTTACAGCAAAACGCAATTGCTGGTATGCTATAGGTCGTTGCTGGCGTGCGATCGCAACCAATGTAGGTCGAAGTGCTCGAAACATTTTCCCGTGTTATAAATTGTTGGCAAAGAAAAAGTCGTGGGCCAAAAGAGAAGAATAACAAATAGTCGGGGTATATGTCTTGACAACAATATTCAAGCCTTAGCAATCATAGCAACGGTTTGCTCTTCATAGTACCATAGCAAGAACGGATCTTTGTATTTTTGTAGCATCCATTAAAGGCAGCATCTTCGCCATAACATCATGACGAAGACTTGCATTGTTTGCATATTACATGTTCGCTATTAGTCACAAAACTTCACACTCGTAAATATAATGTGGCATATGTATAATCTCATTTCCATGAATGAGTTTATTTTACCATGTTTTCTAGCAGCACATACTTAGTTTAGGCTAGTAATCAAATGAATTTGTTATTTTAGGAAACAATATATAATATAGGAAGTTAGTTTTGCTTGCTGAATGTTCATGTTCCAATATTAGCATACAGTAGCTCGTTTATTTATAGAGTACACATTTCAGGACCTCTTTCATATGATAGCATAATGCAGCAGCAAGTGTACTGCATACCATACATGGATAATATAAAGGGAATATCGAGCACAACCCTATTTAAGTGATATGTCATGATGTACTTGGTTGATAGTCAATGACAGAGGTATATACTTGATTCACATCAATAAGCAGATAGACAAAAGTCGTAGCACCTTGTATAAAAGCTTCCTGTTTGACGGACTAATACGCCAAGGCTTTGTAACATCTCTTGGCTACCATAAAATTCGAATTATGCGCCATGACGACATGCTGTGAAAAACGGCGGGATTTCGGTGACATCCGCAAGAACCGCGTATACTGCAGGTTTTCACTCATAATATACACGTACACGCACAATGGCGACAGAAGAACAAACCCAAGCTATTGCAATGCTGCAAGATCTGGTACTTCAAATGGACGCATTTCGGGTGAATTGGCTGCTTGACGTCTTTTCTTTTGGTCTAGGGCATCAGTCGCAAGCAAGCGGTTAAAGCACTTGCAGTAAGCAATCACACTCTCTTTCTTCGACATTTTCCTCGTTGTATACATGAATCTAATATAGATCCACTTGATTTTCTGCTTTTCCTAATCACTTTCTAAAAAGCGGTACGGCAACGATGTTAGCCGTGCAGCAGATTTTATATTTTCAGGCAATGCAATCGACTCTGACAGTGATAGCGACAGCAACCATAACAGCACCAGCAATAACAACAATAACGAGGAGAGCGAAGCCAAGTCGCCACCTTCGCTGACGCCACCATCACCACCTCTACCACCACCAAAAAATACAACGACAAATCCGGATACTCAATATAGCTGGGATAACAATCCTGTCCCTTGGCAAAGTCAAGAGCGACAACATTTAATCAAAGACTTTGATCGAAAGGCTGAAAGCAGTACCACCGTATCCTATGATCCAGCATTGTGGAGTGTGGTACCAGCAGCAGTAAGTAATAAATTCTACTTAGTGAATGCCATAGCTTAAGAAAAAAGGAAACTCAACATCTGATAAAATGGGTTCGCGGGTTGGGGCTGCTCTTGTAGAATCCAAGTATTGAAGCTAATACGACGCCGTCATTGACGTGGTGGGCTGATCCTGAAAATCCCTCTAACCGTCTGGCTGTACCTGATATGTGAGCTTTTTTTTCTTTTTGCCTTCCTGTTTGGAAAAAAATCTCTACTAGTAGATGTTTAAATTGTCATAACTAGCTGTATGTGAGTGTGTGCATTAATACGTGCAATATGCTATAGACCCATCGGTTTACGCCCTCCACAGTTCAATTTTCCGTACGTCCCGGCTATCCTTCAATCATTATTTCATATCAGCTTGTTTCAACAACGCGTCTTTGCATACCCTACGGGCGTGGATGTATGGGGATCTGCACTAAACTACTGGAATGGTAATGGCGAGCCTATACCCTCGTTTAACGGATCCTGTGAGACCCCAAGCAGCAACAGAAGCAACAACAGTGGCAGTGATAGCAATGCTGGCAAAAACAATATGGACAGGAAGCTGGCTGGTAGCGTTAAAGCAGTAGCCGAACTGCAGAAGCTTTTTGCTTTTCTTGGCCACTCGCGACGCCAGTACGTGAATGTATCTCAATTTGTACAAAGTTTGGATACAAAAACAGCACATGGGAGTAATTGGGACGCACAAGATTTATCCGTTGATGGTATGTATGACTCTCACTCCTATATGTAAAAAGAGAGGGTAGAAAATGACCAATCTGCTAAAGGCATAATATTTTTCCTTAGAATTTATCGATCTCTTCATAAACACTTTGGTTGAGGCTGATGATCGACAAAAAACACAACCAAATGATAACAGTTTTCGAAGGTATTATTAACATCTACTGGAAGAGTCACATAAGAGCAAAAAAACTCTAATATGCGTGTATAGCCTTTTCTCTCTCTGTGCGCAGGTGGAATATGGCCGGGATATTGATAAGGAAGAAATTTATTATCTTACGCTTGGCTTTAACGAGCAAACACTCAGCTTTCACGAGTGCCTTGGTCCTTTGGTCTACGAAAGCGCCACATATGGAAATGACACTGCTAGCGATGTCGTTAGCTTTAGCAGTGACGAAGGATCGATTGCTGGAGGAAAGGCCTACAAACTTACCACCTTTGAGCGAGTCCCACCGATTCTTGTTATATGTCTGGAAGATAAGACATTAAAGACCAAAGCGGGTACCATAAACTCCCTTTACCAAGTGGACAGGACATTGTATATGGATCGCTACCTATTCGAGAACAGAGACAAGATTCTAAAACGTTACGAGCAAGCACAAGCGTGGCGGGACGAGATCAACGATGCCAGCGAACGAATGGCTAAGCTAAGGAATAACAACGTACCTGTTTGGTGAGCAGCGGTATAATATATGTTTCCATCTGACTAAAACTCTGTTATTAAAGTTGACCAATGGACAAGGCAAAACAGCAGCTGCCGACAAAAGCGACATTCTTTCAAAAACAATCGATTACTTCGAGGAATATTCAGCCGATGAAGCTACCCAGTCTTTGCGGAACGTACTTAATCAAGTAAAAGATGGCATTACTGCTCGTTTAGAAGGTAAATTGAAGACTTAAGCAAAAACACTTTGTAAATGTATAGCTATAATTTTTTTATTTCATAATATTCTAGAGCTGGAAGAGCTGGTGAAGCAGCGCACGGACGATCTTCGAAATCTGTTTAATGATTCAGAATATTGCCAAGCGCCTTATGATATCCGTGCCATTCTTCATCACGATGGCATGAGTGGCACTGGCCACTATTGGGGCTATATTTGGGCCGAACCTGGAGAGGAGAACCTACTACAAGATATTCCAAATGACAGGGGAGGCTGGTTCAAATTCTGTGACGCAAGTGTCAGACCATCCAACGAAGATGAGATATTCAACGAGACCTCCAATCCGTTCGCCCTCGTGTATGTGAAGCGCGACATACCTAGATATACTGGCGCCCAACTATTCAACATAATCCCAAGTGGTTTACAGGTACACACATATGTTTCGACAGTAAACTTTCAAAATGCAATGGTGGCGTTTTGTGTCTAATTTACTTATTACTCTTATTCAACGCTCATTTAGGCTTATGTGGATAGGGACAATGAAGACTTTGATGAAGAAATTCAATCATTTAACAATGGCGAGCGTAACCCCGAAGAAGAATCACCAGGCTTGACGGTGTCGCAAGATGGAGACTCAATATCCACTGATGGTGATGCTGCGTCCAATGGGACTGCGGTGGGTGAAAATGCAACAGCAGCAACTACGCCGATTACAGCAGCAACGACTACAACCGGGAACCACAAGGAAGCAGTACCGCAGCCAATTGTATCAGCAACAGCCCCTCCATCGGAAGCAGCAGATAATGCAACACTCGAGCATTCTCTTAGCGAATCGCAACTATCGCAATTATCGCAAACGAGCAGTTCTGAAGAGCAGCAAAAACCACCCGATCAAGAGGAAGCTATAACCGCCAAAAATAATACCATATTACGAGGAAAATTACATCAATACATCCAAAAAGTCCTAATCTGTGCTGAGCAGTATGGTGGAGACGATTATCGATTACTGAAAAGGTATTTTACTGACGATAATATATGGCTCTCACTGATCCAACCAAATTGAGTCACAAACACACATATTAATTTATGCTTATGCACATATCCCCAGCTTTGAAGCATTCCTTGGAAAGCTTGGATACGGCGATGCTTTGGAATATTTCATATTTACATATACAACTGATCAAGAGTATGAGGTAATGTTGGATTACATTCTAACGTGTTGTTTCGTAACGAGTGTTTTATTCTGACTATGGAAATCATTTTTACATACCTAGGCTCCTATCATTCGAGAAGAGGATTCAAGAGATGATCCAAAATTAGTAGCGCTATGGCTCGAGTTTGACAAGTTTGTCAGCATTGCGTCCATTATTTCGACGGCGTTGGCAGAATTTGGAGAGAGTCGATATCTAGAGTCCCTGCGTCATTTCACTCAGACGCGACAGGAAGAAGCAAGTTGGAAGGTTCATTTGCTAACGGAAACCGACATGCTCGAACAATTTCCAGATATTGAAAATCTTGGATTCGCGCCAGTGATTACCCGCTTTGGCAAGCAGTGTATTAGGGTAACTACACATATTTTCTTTATATGCTTTTGTTTGTATGTGTTTCCTGAAGAGGCTGTTTATTCACCACTGCAGCAAAAACATACATGATCTAGGTTTTGAATGAACGGGCGCGCACTAAAGCAGCTGATCCAGCGTACAGAACTCGCGGTCTGGAAGAAGCATTACAGATCGCTCGACAGGCACAAACAATCATTGGGCCGGATAAGTTTGCAAACGATGTCCTTTTCAGTGAAATGCGAGAGGAATGGCTCAAATATAGCGAGGTACAAGGTGCGGAACTCGAAGGATCTCAGGCTGAACTGCTCAATGAATTGATCATGGCTTATCTCGAGGCCGATTCGGCGGATGCTGCCAATGAATCATCATCTATTACTACCGTAACAAAAATTCATGCGGGGCTTCTCCAAAATTCATCCGAACCAGTATGGCAAAGATATAAGCATGCACTACAGCATGCTAACGCACGATTAAATAGTCTTTAAAGTTGTGTAAGAAATTAAACCTGCAATAGACTATGTACTACTACTTCCATGTGCTTGTATGTGCCGTTTCGTCTTGTGGTGTGTTTAACAGATCAGATTGAAACGGAAAATTTAAATATTTCGATAGTGACCTGGTTATCTTGATGAATGAAACTCATATAAATATTAAAGCTTCCAGATGAAAAAGACACGGGAACTTTATTTTCGGAAGCAATGCTGTTGTGCAGACGCAGTTTCGTTTCTATATGTAATTTATATTTCTCTTCAAAAATAGACAATATATATCTCAAATGGTATTAACCTTGATATCCCATGATCCGATAGTACTATTATTGATATGTCTCAGTGCTTCGGTTCTATCTGCGAGCGTTTCTTCGGGTGCTTCACCAACCGTGGCATTGCCAGAAATGGATGATATCTTTGGTCAAAATTTGTCGGCTGAAGAGTACTTTATGTCAGCTACTACGCCTGAACCGGAGCATCATGAATTAAAAGAAGACGGCGAAGGCGAAGACGACAGCGAAGACGAAGACGAGGAAGAGGAAAGCGACGAGAGTGACGATACGTATCCCTCCCTTCCCTTCTCAGCAGAAGAACTCGAAAGAGGTAAAAGGAAACCATATACTCTTGACTAGGAAAACAACAGTCAAATCTGAAAAATAAAAAAGGCGAACTTCCCGTATATAGAGAACCAACCAATACCGAAGGCAATGATATGCCACCAGTTCCCCAAGTGACAGGATGTCGTACACATGGCCAGATTGCACTCACTTATGTATGTCTGAAGCAGATGAAAGGACATTTATTATGAGGTTGTCATTTACAATTATTCTCCTGTATTATTAGAGTGAAGGCCCAAGCGATGCAACTGCAAAAATTGTCCGTCAACTCAACAATGCTCAAGTACGTGCCAACTTTTTCATAAATACTACTTGGTAAGCTATTCTCATTCTCCATGTATAAAAAACAAACTCTCTTTACCTCTACTTCTATGATACTAACGCGACTTACACTCGACTCAAATTATTATATGGCACATACAACATCACACCTTTGAAACAAAACAAAGGCTGTATACGCAACAATACGCTATGGTTGTTCAGAACATGTACAATGCCGGACATCTAATCGGCATGACATACCGCGCTCCACAGCATGAAGACGGCTCATCATACACAGATGGCGAAATTCGACAAGATGTTATCAACAGCGCAAAAATGGTCGAGACGCTTATCCACGTTGCACCCAAATACGTACGATTACATTATTCTGATCCAGAAGACACACGCACGGAAAACATTATCAAAGATTTGGGATTTGTCCTGGTGGATCATAATCTTGACAGCATGGATTATCTGCATAAAACTGGCCCAAAAATCCAAAGTGTTTATCGCAATGCATTTATACGTCAAAAGGATACATATGATGCCAAAGGATCGTTCATCTCGGTGCAATACGACATTCCGGGTAGCGGATCCTTGGCAGCTGTACCATTCATCATTCAAACGATTGATGAAGAGGGGTATACAGCCGTACGCATGGATGGATGCTTGAATGATCCCGAGCCTTATAAGTCCTGTAAGTTATAACACATCCTCCACCATTTTTCTTGATTGTATGTATGTGGAAAAATTCCTTTCTACTAACAAAAGAATGTCTTATCACTTTTAGCTGCTGATTCACTCGAGTATGTTAGTGACAAGTTTTCTTTCAATACCACTGGATACAAACAAGGACAAAAACCAGTTGCTATTGTCAGCAATGCAACCGAGGTGGATGAGCAGGGACTATCAGCCGAAGATGAACAGGATGGTTTTCTCGAAAGCAAGGCAAATGCGACATTGTCGTACCTAGTGTTGACTGCATCTCTTGCATTTTTGGGAGCTATCACGCAACTTCTCTGAAAGGATATTGTTATACCAGTATATTCGCTTTGATATATCGTCGAACAACAACAAAGGGTTACATTTGAAATAAAACAAGATTAAAATACTGTTTATCTTGCATTTCGGCTTGTTGATCCTTTCACTGCATTCTTTTGTTCCTCCTGTTACTAGTAATGCTTGTAGAAACAGTGTGCTTATATCTAAACACAGGGGATGAGCTACAAGAATGACCAATAAAATCGACATATACGCATCACTGCCTCTGGTGAAACTACAGAAACGACGGGTTTGTATGAGCAACTGTAACGGCCGCTCAAACCATGGTCTGTGCATTTGAAAATTTAGAGATCAACTACGAGATGTAAGAAAGCGCATACAGTAGATGCTTTATTTTACAATGAATAAGAAGAGAAACAAGCTACGTGCTAATTCGGGTATAATACGTAATGATTGTCTTTTCATCACCAAGAAAACGTCATGGCCTGAAAATGATTCGTTCCCATTTCATTTGTATCTTTCCATTTATCCGCTAAATAGTTTATGGCTAGAGGCAAGAAGGGCAATACATGGTCACCCATTATATTCATGAAGAAATATCCGAGTTTGCATCCTGTTCCTTATGTGCGCTTGTACATTCTCGCTTATAGGCTTGACGACGTGGTACATTATTCGTTATCAGTATGATAAGCAGGAGGTTGACATGGATTTTTCCGGGTTACATACTGTATGTGCGTTTATCGTTCTTCTAATGTGGAGAAAGAAATATGATGATGTCGACGTAATTGGTACTAGTAAGAACGCCATACACTTTGCTCTCATGTTTTGCATGAGAAGGAGACATGAGCGACATTAATCTGATTGTTTATTGTGACACTTGATATGGTATGTATATAGCTCACGCAATACGTTTCATGGATAGGATAGTTACGAAAAGTATTAATATGTGGCCTATTATCATTACTTGACGGGCTTGATTCTCGCACGGTCATTCAAACCCTGGGAACATAGTGTGCATAAATGTAAACAATAAGCAATAACTGGATTTCCCATTACTGCTCCTTCAAACAAGGATTCACTTTCCACTATCGCCGTGCACGGTCCTAAAAAGTTGATGTGGGATTTTTCAGTTATTTTTTTCTTTCTTTTTTCATCAATGATGGTTTTACGGATTTATAATCCGCCTTGAACTGCATGTCAGAAAACAATGTACTATGTATACATACTATATGTTAATCAAATATTGGGTTATTAGCCGGAGATGTATGTACTAGATATAGCTGACACTTTTGATGCATGTATGTAATATGTTATTAATAGATAATAGACTTGCTCTTTCCCGTAGATATTTTGCCGTTACCACCGTTCGGTACATTAGCATGACGACAGAATGTATAGTTTTCGATTTTGCCTTCGTAATTTGAAGAAATCTTAGTTTGTTGGGTGTACGCAGGTTTGAATGCGCCACCTTGTTGTCTTGAGTCGTAAACTATGTAGTTTGCAACCTGCAAAGTGTTGTCAGCAACTGGGATGAACACGTGGTCAATGTCTTTTCTACCGGTTTTTCCTTTGTTTCGTTCGTAGCGTATGAGATAAAACAGTGTCAGCTAAAAGCACAAGAAAACTGACGGACGATAGTTCCGATAAGTAACAAATCAATTCTTTATAATCACTGCGACAACAACATGTATAAGCGACAGTGATAAACAACACTAGATAACATACCACACTCCGCACGAGTGTATATAAGCTGCTATTTCTTACACATGCGAACGAGCAAAAAAAAAAAAGAAGAACTTCATTCTTTGCTTTTTCCCACTACATCACCAAGCGTTACATATAATCTGCCACATAACATCTGTTGTCAGCACATAAGATGACCAACAAGACACGGCGAGTTACAGAATCCCGTCTATTTCGATTATACATTGGAAACGGAAATTGGGTCAGTTTGACACGAGAAGTTACAGATGACCTCAGCGAAATATACAAAAACGGCAAGGCCACGCGCTACGAGCTCGCTCCCGGATTGCTACTCGACATCTTGCCGAATGATGTGGACTGTAACAGCAAGAACACCGACTTGGCATGTCTGATGCGTGTGGACTTGTGTTATGAGAACGATAACGAAGAGGACACCCAACAGTTACTATCAAAATATGTGAAAGGACGCCTGGAGCAACAAGGTATCATCGACGCATTTCCTCCAACCAGAAAGTCTGACGATCAGCTACCCATTGTTACCAGCTTACCTACACATCGGCATCTGAGTATGGTTCCTATGCCTCCAACATGTGTCAATAGACGAACCTCAACAGCAACTCGCAGGGAAGATACTGCCACAGCTGTAACAGCAGCAGCAACAACGATAGTGTCGTCTCGTGCTCTTGCGGCGACAACCGATGAATCACCACAGGCCAGCATTAGTAACGGCAGCAAAAAGTTTCCAGCCAAGAAGCGCAGAACTAAACGACGCCGTACTGCTGACAAACAAGAATCGCCAGTAGAAGAGCGCTCAAAATATGTTGACGAGGATTGTCATGATCTGGAAGAGCCGATGGAACGTTTGTCAACGGCAACCGATTCAGCGCTGCAGTACCAATACTATGCGATGGGACACCAACAACAGGTAATGCTATCGGCTACCCCATCGACATATCGGCCTCCACTTACTACATACTACGGTGAAGAGAAAAGTATGCTGTTGAGAACACCGTCTCCGCCTCCAGTACTCGGCGGCTTATCAAGTAACCAGCATCATCCCCAACAACATGATCAAGAGCACAGTGACTCTTCGGTCGAGAACAATCCTTTTTATGGTGCTAGTGCCGTACTATCCAACACCGAAGGACAACAGTATTCTTTGCTTTCTCTGTCTCATGAGCCGCAAAACTGGACACGCCCTTATCATCAACACCATCGTCCTAGTATTATGGCCGGTCATCATGATCACCACAGTAGTGGCGAGCATCATTCCATAGTCGCAGCAGTAGCCAGCAGCAGCGATAGTGCTTATTATTACGGCAACCAAAACGGCGATAAGATGCAAGAGTCTGCACCCTACGAAGTGGTTGCTTGCGCTTTACACCATCATCAAGATACTTCGCTTCATAGTGTGTCGCTGTCCAACTCACCATCTCCTCAATCCATGCTGTTACCTACATCGTCAGAGCCTTATACAGCAGGGTCCGCTGCTGCTGCACCGTTTTTTCAGTCAAATTATCAGAGCGACCGAGCTTTACCCCACCACCAACAGCAACAGCAGCAGCAACCAGTAGAGTATGAACAACATGCTACCTTTTTGGTTGATTCGGAACCAGCGCCTCAAGACTGATCTTTGTTTACATTTTTTTGCGAACCACTGTTTGTGTCTTTTTGTTTGTACAAATAAACCACGGAAGAAATGATTTTGTGTTAGTCATCGAGTCAGACCTCTATAATTGTTGTGATATTCATCGCTATCTTTTATATTATTGTGCGTAACTTGTATATCTCTCATCACATGATCTTACGCTACCTTCAACACTCTCACCATAATGTTATCCCGATCAATATGCTGCTTACTGGTTGCGGGAATAATATTGTTTTTCGTTTTCCCCCATTTTATGAGATCATTTTCCAGACCTGAACTTTTTTCAGCAAGAATAACAAATGTCTTCTCGGTTTTCTAATACCGATCAGTAATGGTTCTTTCTATACTTATTTCATTCTTTTGTTGTACTGTATGATACATCGTTTCATCGCGAATGTTCTTATTGTACGCGGTTTTTCTTCACTACTTGTTTAGTAGTAATTGTCTCTTTTTAGTATTGTACTCGTATCATTATACCCTTGTCAGTAATATAAATTGCGGCATGCTTGTATTTAATCGATGCTTTTTAGTATCTACATATGCAACAGTAAGCAAATTTCTCAACTTGTATCTGCTAAATTCAGCTTTGAGTTGAGCATATGCATATTTGCATATGTGATACTGTGCATGTCATTAGTCTGCTCTATATCGCTTGCTAAGTAGAGAAATTATAGCTACAGAATCCTAGTACCCTACGGGTTACCATGGACAGGTGAAATAGCTAGTTTCTTTTCATATTCTGATTATTGAGATACTTTGCCGAAAGAGGAACCTGTTCATGAACAAAACAAACAGTATTAACTTGTTTAGTAGAAGAGTAGAGTACTGCGCTTGAAAACCTGCCACTTTAACCAGAAAGTTCAAACTTGATGGGGAGGAGGGTAGTGCGAGAATAGGATATCTAACATACAGCTTGAAAAGACTGCTGTATATATGTGCATACGCTACGCATTAGCCATTGGATCATAAAATATGTTATTTCTGGCCTTATACATGTATACCAATCTTATAAGCTGAAGCACATGTGGTGCAACTGCTCTTAAATAAACATAATCACAGATTGTACATAAAATGGCTTTCAAAGGTCATAATGGCAGCTCATCTCGTGCCTATGGTAAAGAATGCTATTGTACATAAACTTCATTAAGAAAAGGTGGAAGTCTGTAAAATTCCTGTCTATTTTAAGGGAGTTACAGTATATATTCCAAACTGTGTATTGATAAGACAGAATCTGGTAGAATAACGAAATTTCTGATTTTATTACAGGCTCAATATTAAGTGTCTGTGTAGCAATAAATGTAGAGTATAAGCGGTATCTGATGTATGTATTGAAAGAACGTCATTTGTATATTTTGCTGTTTACGCAGATGGGTGATGGCCACCTATGGATATATCTCAAAAGTGCAGCGAACAATTGTATAAGGTACAAATTACATCGGACACTGCTTGTCGCACCCTGTCGACACATGAATGCCATCCTTCGCCCATTTGTTTAGTCACTTGATCCAGATACATCACTGTGAGTTGTACCTTTTCTAAATCCTTGCTTCGTACGAGCTCTAAAACATACTTTGCAACCACATCCTCATCTTCTGATTCAGGACCTTCAGGGAATGATTTAACCCATTCCCGCAGCACTGAACGCACATCATCAATAGTGGTCCTACCAAGCAGTTTTGGTTCTGATAAAACAGGTAACGGCAAATTCATTCTTGTGGTTGGCTCTGATGCATCGTCCATTAACTAATATAATAATGTTTGGTAAGCCCTCGAAATGATTTATCCTGCTTCTTCTCTGATACTGCTTACTTTGGTGCGAGCTTCACGGAAATGATCGTTGCGGATATTTCGTTCTCGTACCAATTGCTCCCGCATATGGTCGGATTGAATTTCCGCTTGCATAGCTGTATAATTGTTAATCCTCCATGATGCGCAAAATACACACTTTAATAGATTGCTGAAGTGATAGCTTACAGGCTGGTAATTCGCCCCAGATAGAAGACTCCCATGGAAGATTTTTTTGGGTCGTTGCTGTTCGATGCGGGCTTTTCGTTGGATTGAACATTTGAGTCAATGTGGTGCTACCGCCTTTTTTGGTAGGGCTTGCTGAACGAGTGCTTCGTTTCGTTATTCGCGGGCGGCCACGCAGTGTAGTATTCAGCTGGGGTTGGACTGGCTGAGGCGGAGGGGATGAAGAGCGAGGACGCTCTTGTTTAGGTTTACGTGATTGTTTGCTATACATTTTAAGTACTTGTTCGCGCATCGAATCAGGTAAAGCCAAAAGCGAGGCTGGATCCAGTTGAGACCATGGTGGGATATCAGGCAGGGAAGCCAGTGGCTCAATTTCAGTTGTTAGTGGTGGTGAGGAAGGGGCTTGGTCAAAAGTTGGTTCAACTATCTGCATCTGTTGCTCGGCATGGCTTTTCATTGGCGGCGTTAATCGGGCAGCAGACAGCTCAGGTGAGCAAGAGAGAGAAGGTACTTTGTATTGTCTCCTAAGTTCTTCTTGAACTTCAGAAGGCAATTCAGCAAATACGTCTGGATCAATTTCTGTTGGAAGCGGCATGGGTGCTGGTGATGTTTCTCGAGAGGGTGAAAACGACAACTTTTGTTGTCGAATAACAGTGTTGGGCGAATCCAACTTTGTAACCAGAATACCGAGACCTCGTAAGTCAGTGACGTCGAATTTGTACGAGAGTAGCATGTTATGGCTGTGCATCGCGATAGTTTCAGGGTCGTCTGTAGGAGCAGCAAGGGCCACTGACTTTGAGAAGCTGTCACATTCACCACATCCAAGACGTTTTGTTGCTTCTCCGGCATCTAAACGTCGTCGCAGCACGTTGAGTGTGATGCGCTTTCCTTTTCTTTCAATATTCTGTAGACGCTCGCTCACTTCCTCGGCTAACTCTTCCATAAATCTCTGCAAAAATGTAAAGATAACGATTGTATCATTGTCAGCTTCCATTTCGCGCAAACGGTCATCAATCTACTTACTTTAACCTGCTCTTCGTTTTCAAACCGTACACCCCACTGCATAGAACTGATTAGACATCAATATATAGATTTCTTAAGCACTAGAAAATGATGATATATCGATTATGTTACGTGTACTTACATTAACATCCGCACTGACTGACTGTCGTTCTTGATCATGCTTCAAGGGACGATCGTCCAGTCCTCTCGCAAAGTTATACAGCATTTGGCCTGTTTTTGACCCAAAACTGGTTTGTAAGGCACCAAGATTCATTTTTAGAAGATCCGATACTTTTGAAACGCCCATGGTTGCCAGCTTTTCGGTCATTGCATAGCCCACTCGCGGAAGATCAGATACCAAAAACTCTTGCACTTGATCTGACGAACAGTAGTATTGACCTGCAGGCTTTGCTTTCTTTGTAGCCAACCTCGCCAGGAGAATGTTCGATCCTATCCCAATACTGACTTCACAGCCTGTCTTTTCGCGTATGGTTTGTCGGATTTCCGTAGCAGCAGATGGGTCGTTCACTTCAATAAGAGCCTCGTCTACGCTGACCGGTTCAATCTCCTCTGCAAATCCATAGAGCACCTCGTAAAATGCTTCAGATATAGCCTTGTACTTTTCAAACTCGTATGGTATGACCTGTAGATCCGGACATAATCTCTTTGCTGTGCCTATGTGCATCCCGTTACGTACTCCAAATGAGCGTGCAATGTAGTTGCAGGACGCAATATCGCTCGATGAATCAATTTTGGCTTGCTGAACGTGTGATACTGCAACCGGTTTATCTTTTAGTTGAGGGCGATCCAGAAGACCCACTGATGCAAAAAAGCAGTCGAAATCAACGTGCCTTAAAAGTGAAACGTCGAATCGGCCGAGCATGAGCATAAGCATGTTGTTAGAGCCAATATGCTATACGCAGAGCCTATGTTTACAGCTCAAAGAAAGAAGATGAACAAACATCCTTACATCACTATCCGTGGTCCTTCACGCTTTCGTTTTTTACTTCCACGAGAAAACTTCTCATCCAGCTTTCGAATAATTTCTGACTTGATCTCTGACTTCCATGTTGAAAGGTGGTGTAGTCTCGAAGACGAATAAAACTTCTTGACGAATCCAGGGGTGACTGTCGTGTTTTCTCGGTTCCATTGATTCGCCAATAGACTTGCATTCAAAGTTTTGCCCTGTGGAGACTCGGTGGCGTTTTGGTTTTGTTGTTGTTGTTGTTGTTGTTGTTGTTGTTGTTGTTGTTGTTGTTGTTGCTGCTGCTGCTGCTGCTGCTGCGGTTGTTGTTGCTGATTTTGTGCTCGAAATTGAAGTTCGGTTTGTGCTGTATCTTTGCCAGTGATGCGGTAGTCAGCCCAAGGTAGAAGTCGTTGCTGTTTGATACTGTCCGTCAACCAATTTGGTTTTACTACTTTGTAAGCCCTTCATTGACATATATTTTGTCAGGTTAGCAACGCACTATGAGCGTTCTGCGTATCGATGGGCTGGGAAGGGGAGACAAGTTCATTACCGAAACTCATTGTACTTGGCTTGCGTTAAATTCGATGCGATAATGTGTGTAACACTTGATTTTTTTACTGGCAAAAAGAGGTAGTCTTAGCACTCCGTCTACATAAAAAGAAAGAAAAGGGTAAAGCTTACGGTAGTGTTGATAGTCTCCACCATGAAGAATAAATAGTCGACGTAGTTCGTTTTGAGGTGGATTCGTATACCCGTTAATGTAAATTGACAACCCTTCAAAGATCTGTGGCACGTCCTGGCTTGATGTCGTTTCACTGCAACGCAAAAAGTTGAAATGTCAAATATCCATTTATTTGCGCGGAGCGAACATGAGAAGGAACTTACATTAGTTGTTCCTGGTCTTTAAGTTTCGCTTGCTTATTTGCCATGTATTTCCTAAATTCGCCGAAGCGAATCGCACCATACTGATCGTCCATAGTAGTGCAGTAGTGCAGTGCGGTGGAAAGAAGCAAAACTGGTGGCGGGGTTGCCACGGATGTTAATTTCTATTGTTATCTCAGCAAAAAGATGTACTTCAGCAGCAGAGTAGCCCTAAGTAACTGTAAGTGTTCGGCTCAGTAGCTACCTTGTACAAATGAAGAAGAAGAAGGTCACAGTCATTCATTGGCAGTACGCCTAGATAATAGATAGATTAGTGGTTATTTATAACAGCCCATAGTAAAATCGATATTACGGAAAAAAAAGGTTGTGCTAGAGAAGAGCATGATCTTCCTTACGTGTAACATGGCTTCTTATGCATGCGTCCGAAGCAATACAACCTGGTGGCAGATTCTCCCAGTATACTCTATGGAATCTTGAAGCTAATAAGCGAAAAGGGCGCAAAGTGTTCACTTGGGGTGTGTCGTTCCACCTGCCAAGGCTTCTGCTGTACTCCGACAATCCTACAGAGCTGTTGCTCTTTTACTATTAATATCACGGCCTTTAACTTATTACTTGTACGAAACTATGCTATACGTGCGCGAGCCTCCCCCACCACCTCCAGAAGACAATGACGACGAAGCCGGCTGTAAACTTCTTGATTCTTTTGCCATTTTCATACAGTTATGCTTAGCAGCAGCTGCATTCTCGACGCTTATTTTCAAGCGACATAAAGAACACCCTCGGCGGCCTGTGCGCATTTGGTAATTGACCTTTGGAAAAAAAAATAGTGCAGCTGTATATTGAAACAGAAAATCACTTATGTCAGAATCTCTTTGTAAATTTTGTTCATAGGGGATTCGACGTTAGTAAGCAGCTCGTCGGCGGTATCGTCATTCATTCTTTAAACGTAGTTGCGTCTTATATTTCAGGCGGTAATCCGGAGGGAAATCAATCGAATCCTTGTGTCTGGTAAAGAGCTTTAAAAATTTAAATCGTGGATAAGAAGTCCTGACGTTTTATTCTTTTTGAAGAGATATTGGTTTTTTTCTGTTGCTAAACTACTTGACTACTGTTGCACTTGACGGTATTTTAGGTATTTTTTGAATATATTTGTCGATACGACAATCGGCATAGGAATCTTGTGGGGCATACATGCTGGATTCCAATACATTCTGATCCATAAGCTTGGACTGTCTGGGTTTCAGACGGGCGTATATGGTGATCCTCCGCTTCAGAAACAACTGAAGCGTTGGGTCAAACAACTGGCTGTCTACATTGCAAGCCTGATTCTCATGAAACTCTGCGTGATTCTTATCTTCGATCTTATCCCACAACTATCTGATTTCGGTCGCTGGGTCTTGCAGTGGACCATGGGCGATTACAAGCTGCAAGTTGTATTTGTTATGCTCATGTAAGACAAGAAGAATCGAAAGCACCGATGGGTTTTGTTGGAGCTAGCTCACACCTCAATATGACTCTGTAGATTCCCGCTGGTTATGAATATCATCCAGTTCTGGATCATTGACACAATCGTCAAGCACAAGTCTTCTATCCATCTCAGTCAGGACGAAGACGATGATGTGCTAATTACGGACGATGAGGAGGAATACGGCGACGATACCGAAGACAGACGGCGTTTGTTGGCAGATCACGATAGGCCAAAGAGTCCTGAAAGCACATTAGATCATAGCACATATGAGCTGGAAGCAAGCTCTAATAACAACCGATCGTAAGGATCTAAATATGCTATCCCAATACATGCACATAAATATCTATTTCATACATCCACACACATCCATCCATCATGTATATATACATATATAGCCCACGCCCCGCACGCATTCCACATTCTTCCAGCAAAAAAACCTGTATAAGAAACGTATTCGATTCTTTTTAAAGAACCAAAAGGTGTGATTTGTCTTGCTGCCGACTCCCCATAATCCGTTTCTGTTGATAGCGTCCACGTGTATCGTTTACATGAAGTATCATACACGTGCGGGTGATCGCTCAAAGTTCACGAGGATGGACCAGACTGTGTGCCTGTTCTGACGATTCTCCACACCTTTGTCTGTTACATCCGAAGAGCAATAAAAACCCCAAAAGAAAACTCATGTTCTGTTATAGTTGTTGTAAATGTTATTGCGTGGGTATTAAGAAATTTGCTATAATGAAAAAAGAAAAGCATGTGCGGTTCCATAAGGAGAGAGAAGATGACGAAAGTGACGAAAGAGGACTATGGGCTGAGACTATGCATCTGCTGCTACGGACAAAAGAAGAGAATGTGGGGGTAGGGGAGGAAGAATATATGGTTTTTAGGCGTTCATTTCAGCCTGCTCCTGCTCCTGGGTGGGTCTCTGCTTGAGGACCAGGTCCGATCCCGTCATACGACGATAGATATCCTTGACATCATCGCATACAGTTTCAAAGTGTGAAGTAGCATCGTATGAACGGGAAACAAACACTTGGTCGCTAGAGCCATCACACTCAGGTTCCGTGAGGTCAGTGATGGAGATGAATCTGCAGAAATAGCAAAAGGTCAATGAGTAAACACACATTGGGCTGGGGCGGGAAGAGCAACTGCCTAGTTATACTTACTTGTCATGGATCGGGCCCATCAAGTCAAGGCCAGCCTGGATTTCCTTCTCGGGCTCGTCTGTCTCGACAATAGTCGAGGCGATGGCGAGGTACATGTCCTTGGGGCAGACGTTGTGATTGCTGGAGACACAAGCAACGTAGACGTCATGTTTGCGGCCAACCTGGTTTTGAGGGATAACGATCTGGACCGAGTCTGCCTCACCAGTCTCCGGGATGGGGTGTTTAAGGAGACAGATAGCTCGCACAACCTTTCCCGCTGTCTTGACCTTGCTAGCAGCATAGGAGGGATCGCAAATGATTTGCTTTGCTGTGGCCTTTTGCTCGCCTGAGCGGACCCCGACGGCAACACCGTTTTCATACAAAATTTCATCAACGGCATGGTCCAACATGTAGGTTCCACCATAAATAGCACTCAGACTATAATAAACAGGCATCATATGTGAAGCAAATTTTAGCACGAGCTTCTAATTATTTGTAAAACACGTGTACTATTAGCGATGTATTTGTGTGTGTGTGTGTGTGCCTTACCGTGCGAAGGATTGTGGGAGCTCTCCCAATCCGTGGAGAGGATAAATGTAAGGGCTCTTGCCATAGCGAGCAATGGATGCTACATACAGGATAATCTTGTCGACGGTTTCACGAGCAGTCTTCTGGAGGTAGTCATCATCCAAGTGTAGCGCCATGGCGTGACCAATGAAGTCCTGGGTTCCGGGCTCCAGGCCAAACTTTTCGTATAATTGGACCATGGTGCTCTTGTCAAGATCCACACCTTTTAAACAGCAGAAATAACCATTTAGTATTCCCTTCCAAGTATCTCCTCTTCTGCCCCCTTTTTCCTTGATTATCCGCATTAGATGCTCCGGTATATCCAAAGCTTACCATCATGAGTGGATTCATCATCATCCTTCCAGTTCTGGATAAACTCAAAGAACTTTTGCAAGCGGCGCTTTTCGACCATGCCCATCAGGGGAGACGTAACAGCTTCGGCCTCTGTGGCAGGAACCTTGCAAATCTTTCCATCCCGATATACATACGAGCCAGAAATCTGCTTGAATTCGAGGTAACGGGTGACATCGGTGTGCGTCAAAAAGCGAACAATTTCGCCATTGGCCATCATGAACTTGGGGATCAAGTCGATATTGTAGTCTCGCTCACGTCCCAAGTCGGAGGGGACGGATGCATCGGGACGATACTTGTGAAAAAGCTAATAGTTGCAAAGCAGCAAACATGGAACCGGAGTTGAGTTTATTACTACACTCTTTTGCTCTGAGGGAGAAAGAGGGGGTTACGCATGAAATATAGAACAACTCTCTATCTCGTACCTGGTTCAAGTTGAGGGAGGCTGATTCACCGCCGTAATAGTCGTTACGATCGATGTGGAGAACTTTCTTGCCTTCAACGGAGAAAATGCCAGAGAGAATGCATTCGGTCAACCCAGTGCCGAGAACTATAATGTCATATTGCTCATCCTGTTGTGGAGTGTCAAAACGCGAAGATGAGTAAAATCATCTGACATGATTGACATTACAGAAGAATGATGAGTGCTTACCATGTTGGCTTGAAGTTCAAATAGAGTAAGGGTAGTTGCTGTGAGTGTGAGAGGAAAAGAAGAAAGAAAGAGACAGGGAGTGAAGGAAACAAGAAAACGGTGGACTTATACATCGGTTGTCACTAGCTGAAACGTGATACAAAATGCACGTTGTTTTAGCTCCGGCAACTCCCAAGTAATCACCAAAAAAGAGAAACATGAACGTGTAGAGGGGATGCTGAAGGAGAAAACCTTGTGTAGAGTCAACACCTCAGTTAATAGGCATGGCTGGCTAGCTGACAAAAGCCCATCTTCCCTAAAAACGAGCACCTTCCTTACAAACAACCTTTATCTCGGATGCACAGAGTATGGAAGGGGATGTTACTTTATGAAAGCGACAGCTGTCAGTTGTTGCTGTCTACTTCCAGTAGCTACACGGAGCTGATGGGTTCCCCGGATCAATAGTTGAGCACGGGCAGAGAAAGTGTCACGCGTACATGCACATCTGTACTGTGGCGTTTCGAAAGCATTTAACCACATCGATCTTGTGGGTAACAATTTGCTCGCCGTGTTGCTGATGCCGCTGTTATCCTGCATAGACTAGCTTTTCAGAGTCCCCGCAAGAGATAACTTCAGCTTGACAGGACAGTGTCGCTGCTTCTGTGTGTTTGTTTTCGTCTCTCTTTCTCCTCGCTCTTTTCTGTGCATTTGCTTATAATCATGGTTAATAAACCAGCCCCTTGGCGCTTGTGAGACAAACTCAGTTTGGGACACTCCACACGAGGGGCGGTTGAGCGAGGGCTGCGATGTTTATTTATTCACGGTGCAGCAAATGAATTCGTAACCAAGCAACGTGATCTTGTTCCCTACAGACCAAACTTCATTTTCGTTGCCATGACAAAAACTTCAAAAAAAAGTGATGCTTATGTCAGAGCCATGTATATCATAAGCAACGTTTGCTTTAACGATCAAGTCACCCTAGCCTAAAAGATTAGAGAAATGCTCACCGATGCCTCACAACCAAGTGGTATCTGCTATAGAGTCAAGCAACGCTTGTAAGTAACTTACAAACTGATAAGGTGTTATGCGGTTGACAGTAGAGTAGTATACACATTTGCCAGGTCACGGTGGTACACAAACGACTATTCTCAAATCACATTATCGGTGCTCGTTTTACTGGTCAAAGCAGCGCTGCTTGTCGGTGAAAATATAGGATCTTCATCGCAGCGCTATGTACGAATACGTGTTGTCTGTACGAAGCTTCTTTGACAGAAACGAATTGAGCGTAGTAGTATTATGAGCAACATTATGCAGTTACGATGAGAATTAAATGGTGTGTATGATCATAGAATGATAAAGAAAAATATTTCTTCATCCGTGATACTTTTATTTCAATAGTTTCTGACTATTTTGCGTACAGTACTAGCTCACATACCCAACGTCCCCTTCAGAAAGGCATACATGTGTCGCAATGATTAAGATAAGCTTTTAAACGATGGTCTTCCTTCTTGTTCATTGGTTCTTTCTGAGATGGCGCTCAGTGTGGAATAGGCGGAAATACATATGCTGTATGTTGATGGATCGAACTGAACACAGCGATATCAGTTTAATCCACCACTTGTTAGCGGGTACGTGGGCTTATGTCAAATTTTGGAATTAGGAAAATGCGATTGCCAATTATCTGTGTGATCTACCTACATATGTATCAATGAGCGTTACATAGCAAGCAAGCTATAGTATTATTGAAACAAGGTGTTCAAAAAATGAGATACTCATATAAGCATCAGTTATATCTATCAATATGTAATAAACAGCAAAAAGCAATGTGTTCATACATTTGCTGCTATGCTTAATACCTGGTACAATCATGCCATCATGATTTTCTAGCAAGTTCTGATGTGTGCCTGATGTGGTACAATTCTCTTTGAGGTAAACGTTAGGTCGCTCTATGCAAATAAAGTTCGTCACGATAATTGCCTGCTGTTATGAACAGGTTTCAATGCGAATCACTTTGGCCGACAGCTTGCAGATCACAAGCAACCGTAAAAGGAAGTTGGATGCCCTTTTTTCTCACATCTGCCTTTTGTTGGTCTTTGCTTTTCCCTCTCTTTTTTCCTCTTTATTTTTCTTTCGGTAACTTCTCTCATGTATTCGCCTACCCAACAACAGTTCAACACGGAGACGCAAGACCATCACTATCATTCTGCGTCGGCAGTGGGTATCCATAATAACGACCCTAACAACAACAACAATAACGGCGCCGGCGGCAGCTTACATACGACAGTTGGCGCAGTCCCTGTACGGAATAACCCAGCTTATAATACTTCGTCGTCGTCATATAGTTTCGGAGCCGCTTCGCTTGCCATGAGCCCTACTTCAACGACCGCTGGTGGTGGACGTGGCATTCCGTTTGGTGAAGCTAATTCCCACCATTGGTTTGGCACAAGCATGGATTCCGTCGGTTCGTCATTCGGACAGTCACCGCCGATCTTTGGTGGAGCAGGAGGACGTGGGGATCTAATCGTCTCCCCCTCTACATCAACAAGCCAGCTGGACGGGCTCACAGCTGGAGAGGAGGACGAAACACAACAACGAAAGTAAGATTCACTGTTGATAATAAGGGGACGGACATAAACGAACAAGAAGGGAAACTGCGCTAAGATTAAAATGATCATTCAACGCTGCAGTTTGCAGGAAATATTCGAGAAACGTCGCCGACGTCGGGAATCGCATAATGCTGTGGAAAGGCGGCGGCGCGATAACATTAATGAGAGAATTCATGGTAATAAGCATACACTCTCTTCATGTACGCACATACACATCCATGACGTTCAAGAAAGTGCGGCAGAAGTTTACTAAATAAGTATGCGATGATGATGATGGTGGTGATGACACTTGCATTTGTGTTATTTTTGTTGCGCGGTAATAGAACTATGCATGATGTTACCGGAGCATCTACTAGAGACTGCACCCACAAGCTCAAATGTCATGTCCGTATCTACCAATCAAGCTGGAGCAAATGCGCGGGCGATCAACAAGGGAACTATTCTCAGATTGTCAGTGGACCATATAAAAGAGCTTCAAGTCGAAGTGACGCGGTATCAAGAAAAGATCAAGGAATTGGAGGATAAGATCGACGACCTGAAAAGCGGACCCGGAGCAGTAGGGCAACAACAACACAGCAATGCTGCATCAGGAAATGATTTCACCGACGGTCGAATGCCCCACCATCACCAAGCACTTCTCGCACACCATAATATTCAACATGATTCGTTACCCGGTGAGCCTATCCATCTGGTCGACTCGTCCCAAAGAGAACGCACGAGTTCAATCCAGTTTCAACAACAGTTTGGTAACCTGCATATTACTCCGAATGATATGACACGGCAACCATAGAGTGTATGCAGTAACAGTAGTAGTAGTAGTAGTAGTAGTAGTAGTAGTAACCCTTCCTTTCATCGCAAATATCATTTCTTTTCATTTTTTTTCTATCCCCTTATTCTTTCACTGATAAGAGCATCCCAAACTGAGCGATTATTTACTAGTTCTGTATAGTAGGCAATATTTTACATTACTGCCAACAATATAACAATTTGTGAAAGTAAGAAGCAAACACTCAGTTTTATCTAATAATGGATATTCATAAATATATAATGATACTGGAATAACAAAAAGCATCATGCTCAAGACGCCGACGTTGAACAATGATTACATCAACAGTTTCGCGCCACACAATCATTCTGGATCAAAGACTACGGCATTGTCCGACATTCCGCTTAAACGTATCAATATCCTCGACGACTCACGCCATATACTCGCCCGGGTTGGACATGCACAAAACAACTTTGCACCTTCCTACATTGTCACTATATATGCATCATTATCGACCCATGAGGTCCTGTTCCCTACTTTCAGGCGTGGCGACTCAACCATGTCAACGATTGATTACAGTTTTGTTTCACCCATATGTAGAGCATAATATGATCGCTGAAGATGAAAGAGACATATACGATTACAACAAGAAGGAAACTTTTGATTACGAACAGGTATCCTTTATTGTCTCACCTTCTTATTTGCGCGATGGTGACGCTATCGATCATGTCATTTAAAGGCGTAAACAAGACATGGTAGATGGTTCCATTCACTGCAGACCGCAAGACGACCTCACCGAGCATATTTGGCAGTTGTATGGTGAAAGCAACGAGTAAAAATTATTATACACTTACCCTTAAACCAGTACCAGTGCTTCAACTTTGTTTATTCTTCAGAGTCATCTTCATCAGCGCTTTCCTCCTTCTCCTACTCCTCCTCCTCTTCTTCTTCTTCCTCACTATGCCCTTCTACCCTCCCATTGCGTCTGTTGGCAATAATCTCTTGCTGCAGTGATTCATAATTCTCACGTTGAGCAGCAGACAACGTTGACAAATTCACGCTCATAATTGTGTATGTGCGCATCCACTCCGCATGGTCAGCCATCTTCTTGGCGCTACGAGCAAGCTTCGCGATGCTTCTCGCCAATTTTTTCGCTGAGGACGCTTTGAACGCGAGCCAGTTCAATCTGCACCTTCTCGAGCTCATCGTCATCCTCTTCAGTACAGCACCTTTTCTGGGCCTTGGCTTGCTAGCTACCAATTGGCCTCTGGTCCAAATCGCTATCTTCCTTGGGGACGTTCTTTCCGTCGTCGCAGAATGCCTTCCACTTCTGCTGGTCCTTCAAGGCATCCCAGCGATGCTTCAACTTGAAGATCTTCAGATTTTTGGGAGCTTTACGATCATACTCCTTCAAGGCACGGTTTCACTAATAGATATGTTAGAGTTTTTTCCCTCATTTTAGAAATTCGGTAACGCTAAATATATAAGCAGTTACCTTATCTCCTGATGTCTTGCCACTTTTTTTTGTCCGAGAATCTCGAAACAACCATTGGGATGATTTTGAATCTGTATTTGATTATTATCCACAGTCCGCCCATTGGGATTGCCACCTTTAACAAAGTGAAGATACGCGTCCAGTACCTTTTTTCACTCTGATCGTTGCCTACATCGGGATCGGTATTGACTTGCAACCAAGCACTAACCAACTGGAGGTCTTCTTCTTTGTCCCAGTTTTTGGTACGTGGTCGCTTTACCGAATCACCAGCGACAGAAGCATTGTTCTCGGAGCAGGGGAGGGTAGGCAACAGGAAGTGGGGTGTCACTAGCCGAAGCCGAAGGGTTGATGGCGGTGTTGGTGTTGTCATTGGTCATTATTCCTCAGAACCGTTGTGAGAACAGACTGGTAAAATAAAGTTAACAGACCATTTACAAGCACAGCTGCGAGTGCTTTAAGAAGTGTGGTGAAGTGAAAGATTTCCATATTTTACGTCTTATATTACACTTACCTCTTCAGCATCATCACTATAGCATCCGACGTTTCGTCGAGGTGATAGTACGATTTCCACCATTTATTACATCTATGCCGCTTCACCAGTATTCCAAAATACGGTAAAGACCAGGGAAGTATCATATGTTGCCAGTTCATGGTCCGATCATGCATTATTGTCTGTCCCTCTCTCACCGGCAAAGGCTATTGGCGGGGCAATCCTCTGATTTTAGCTTCCAAGGTCTTCCGACATCAACTTGCAACACAACTTACAGCTTTCTTCGCACGCAGCGACAGCACTTCAACACCGCAGCAGCAATGGGAGGAACTGAAGCGTCTACTAAAGCAGCAGATGCAACAGTATTGCCGGCAACGCATCAATAAAACAACAGCTTACCTCAAAAAACTACAATCGAAACGCAGCTGGTTTTTACGGTCAAATCCACCCATCGCTACACGCATATGGTTCTTAAAGATAACTGAACAACAAATATCAGCAGCACAACATGAAGTTTGCGATACCCTCGCTTTACGTGCAGGAGAGCGCTAGCGGGAGCAAGGCGAGAAATCTGCTGATTATCTCAAGCGAACCATACAACAACGCACGTCACAGGCCAACATTGTCACTCTACAACATCCTCACACTAGCGACATATGTAACACAGTGGAATCGATGCATTCAGCCGCAACAGCTTTCTATGAACAGTTGTATACCCCCGACGACGTTGACGACTCAGCTATCCAACAACTGCAGCACAACATACCATCCTCAGCACACCTCAACACCAACAGCAAAGAAAGCCTAGTCGATTCCTTCAGCATTGAAGATCTCCAAGACGGAGCTAAACGAGCCCCACGCTAAAGTAGCCCTGGAACAGACGGTTTACCATACGGCATATGGAGGCTCGTATTCAAACACCCGGCAGCCAAAACACTTACATGTCAAGTATATGAAGATGCATTGAAAAATGGTCTTTTTCCTGAATTTTGGACCGAAACCTGTATCCGTCTCCTCCCAAAAAAGGGCGATCTGACTACACTCACGAATTGGCGGCCGATCAGTCTCATCAATTGTGATGCCAAGATATACACACGGCTGCTAAATAAGCGCGTCGTGCTGGCCGCTGCACCCCTAATTAACCCACAGCAAACAGGATTCATGCCGGGTCGCTTTATTGCCGAAAATGGGCTAGTAGCACGCCTTGTCATGGAACACGCCTCAAGCAATACGTCGTCAGCCATTGGCCTCCTACTCGACCAGGAAAAAGCGTATGATAGGATCCATCCACAGTACTTAGTTCAAACTTTGCAACACTTTGATTTTCTCGATCAAATTATTAACAGCATCAACTCACTGTTTTTCAACACGCGTATACGTATCAACATCAACAGTCAGCTTAGCACGCCATTTGCACAACAACGCGGATTACGACAAGGAGATCCACTGTCGCCGATCTTTTCAACCTGACTCTGGAGCCTTTGCTGCGCTCGTTACAAAGAGACGTATCATATCAAGGATATGTCTTCACATCACCGAACAATGCCATTGCACCAGCCACCATGCCCACCCCCGAGTCAATTAAAACACTCGCCTACGCGGATGATATTCTTGTTTTCCTGCAATCTCCTGAGAATTTGCGCCGGGTTTTGTACCACATGGATGTCTATCAACACGCTTCAAATGCCAAGTTCAATCAAGAAAAGACCCAAGCAATCTCGCTACTAGGAGGGGCACCACGACCTCGATGGAATGCTTTGCTACACCAACATGGAATTCTGCCTTGTCACGATCGTATACAGACCGACCCCGTCACATATTCGGGCTATCTACTGACCTCCTCAAGTACCCAACTGAATACATTCATAAACCGGTTGCTGGAATCGGTCAAGAACCAATGCAACATTCACTTGAGCCGCAGCTTGTCTATCCACTGCCGTGCCACCGTGCTAAAGACCTTGATTTTGTCAAAACTATGGCATGTTCTGCGTATCATTGGCGCATCACTGTCAGTCTTCCACCAGAAACTGAGAAGCACCATCAGCAGCTTCCTGATGCATCGAATGTGTGGTGAACCACATTAATACACTGCTTAAGATATCAACAATAAGATATTCGGTTAAACATTATAGCACACACGTATGGACACTACGGCATTCCGGCTAAACACTATTGAATAAAATCTTTTACTCGGATGATTCACCTTACGTGAACAGGACAATGAACCTATCAATAGGTACCTCGGCCATTACATTAGCTAACGCCGGTTTCAAAGATGTGCCCGATTAACATAACGACTTCAGGAGACGTTCTGATACGTCCTTGATCCATCCTCTATCACATAGTTTATCCATTAGTTGGATGAATTGATATCACCGTCTTAATAGCTAGAATATAAAAGAGCTTTATCTTTTGTTGGAATAAAACATCATCTCAAAGATACTTAATCTTGTCCCTTATCATCTTTATTAAAGCTCTATCATCACAAAAAGGCCATATTTTCGTCAATTAAGTATAGTGGTTATATCACTTGAGAGGGATCAAGTAGTGTTAAGATGGAGTGACGAAGGGTGCTAATTTAACGTAAACTGCTCACACTATGTAGAGACTAAGAACATAAAGATACAAAGCATGCATGGCATTCACTTGGACATTTCCGCAGACATACCAACAGGAGGGGTCCTATGAGAAGATTGAGATGAAAGTAAAGAGGGAAAACCTCTGTTGGGCGTTCTGCATACCTTCTCAATAACCGCTTCGTTTTCACCCTCTGCAGTGCTATGTAAGCAACAAACGCTGTGCAAAAGAAGAACGTTTTTCACCTGCATTCATTTCTATGGCAACAACTGGCAGTACAGCAGAAAGTGCATTGCACGTAGCACCCAACGAAGCTAACAACCACTGTAAGGAAACAATAAGTAGCAATTCTTGACTGTATTACTAACTTGATACATATAGTTCTTGCCAAGTACTTTGACAGTAGCGAATATCCTACACTTGAGGATTTCGTCAAATAAAATAAAACAAGACTTCGATGTGGCAATAGTAATATCAGACAATACTGGAGTGGACTATATAAAAAACTAGCAACAAAGCTAGAACATCTACTTATAAGTAGGCATTTTCTCATTTTATTTTGTCTCAACAGCAAAGCTTATTCATTATGAAGGATAATCCTTAATTATAGTTTAAACAAAGAGCATTGATGGAAATTAAAAAATAATAAAGTTAATTTCTAAATTAATTTCTAAATTTAATAATTAATGTTAATAATATATTTAATAATATATTTAAAACTAATATAAATTTCAAAATAAAATAAAATAAAATATATAATCAAATTTTTTTTGGGCGGGTATAAAACAAAATATTTATTTATAGTGAAATTTAAAATTAAAAATAGTATATAACGATTCTCAAAGTATTAAAATCAAAAGATGTATATTTAAAAGGATAAACATTTCGAAACTACCAAGCCGAAAATCAAAGATTATCTATGGAGTTTCGAGAACCTTTCTCTAGAGAAAGAACCACAAAGAGTCGCTGCACAAGTTGTGAACAACTTATGTACTAGGAGTATTAAATCATAATAATAAATTAGTGGTAAGCCACTTATTTCTCTATTATTCTTAATACAGTCAAGCTAGCTTGCGTCCAAGTATTCCTAGGCTAGAGGAGGGTTATGCTCACTACTGTTCCGCCACTATAAGTGTTGAATAAACATAATAGTGGAGATTAACACTAATGGTTGAAATTAACACTAATAGTTGAGAATCTTATAGTGTTTGAGAAATTATTTTTTTAATTAAAAAAATTAATTTCATTACTTATTATAATTACTTTAAAGTTATATTATTTATAGTTTTTTACATATTTATAATTTCACTAAAAGCATAATACTAGGGGTTACCCTCCAATCCTCAAATCCATAATTCCTCATATTTCCGATGCAATGTTAGAAAAAACATCCTATGCAGTTACCTCACGGGGTAATTCTAATAAAGAATACTATTATGTCACAATAGTGTCATGACACTAATGGTTCTCCTTATCACTAATAGTGTCATAAATATTTCTTTATATATTAATGGCTTATTCCATTCGCCACTATATATAAAGTTACTCTTTGATGAATAAATAACGACAATAAAATAAATAATAAATTATATTTAAGGAAAGCTGTTGTTATTTTAATTATCCCATGGAAGGCTTGCCTCCCTCTGCAACCTTCCATCTCTAAATCTCATTGTCAAGTTAGTTATCGTCCTTCGTCCTCAACTAAAGGAGGGAAATGCTCACTACCGTTGCGCTGATCATATTCATAATAATATTTTAGTTTTTGTTTTCTATCTTTTTATTTATCATGAATAATAACTAAATGGAATCCTTTTTTTTAAATGATAAAATTAGAAATAAAATTAAAATTTAAATTAAAATAATATATAAATTGAATTCTATTTTATATAAAAAGTTTCTATTAATTATATTTATTTATAACTATAAATAATTAATATATTCATTTAAAATATTAAATTATATACTTTCTAGTAAGTACAAAATAATCTTATATTTCATTATTCTTGATTATTCATCTTTCAGGGTTAAAAGCTTCCTTCGGGAGCTAACTTTATATATTATTCATATGAACAAGTATGTGTGTGTGTGTGTGACACACCACATCACACTAGGAGAATAAATAATATCTATAATTGTTGTTATAAATAACAACATTATGATATTTTATTATTCTGTCAAGCTAAGCTGCGTCCAGGTGTTCCTTGCTTAAAGGAGGGAAATGCTCACTACTGTTGCGCCACCTAGAGTGTTTTTTCTCAAACATAATAGTTGAGAGTAACCCCAAGGGTTGAGAATCTTATAGT